ATTTGAACCAAAGTCCTTGCCGACGAATCTCTAATTGGCATTCGTGACGTTGTCAAAGAAGCGTTTTCAGTTCGGCCTACAGTGTATGTTTTATGCTAAACCTTTTCTCGCCGTTTGCCGCCATGATGCAGCAGTGGGCAAAGTGCGTCTGCAGACTCGGAGCACGCAGGAAATCTTAAACAGGCAAGTCCTCCAACCTTTCACAAGATCAATTAACAGTCAACAGATTTTTTTTTTATTAGTTTTGCAGTTGTGTTGAGGAAGAACAGCTCAACATAAACAAGTACAAATGTTTGGACTAAGCAATACTATTTTGTCCTGCGCCGTTGAGACCATTCCGCTGTTTCCATTTAGAAGCAGCAGAGCCCGGGCACCGCCACATCATCGTCGTCGTCGCCGCCGCGGTTCGAGGTGGAACCCGCCAAGGATCGGAAAGTTAGCAAGGTTGTCAAGACGACGGTCACGATGAGACAGAGGTCGCACGACGCAAGCGAGGAACACTCGGAGAAGGTTAGAGAAAAATAATAAATCTTAAGTCCTGCACTTCTTGTCACAATACGTCGCTCCAAGTTTGTTGTTGGAACTTTCCAACTTTTCGACCTACGTTCGTAACGTTTAAATTTCTGCAACATGACAACTTCGTTCCTCCAACAATGCGTCTTTTTCATGGTTGGTCAAACATTCCATGTTTTTTTCCAGGTATTGTGACTTTATTCTCTCTCTTTTTTTTTTTTTTTTGGAAATGACAATTTTACTTGCATCAATACAATGCATCCTTTTGTCAAATTTTGACTTTTGTCTCACAACAGAACAACTTTTTCCCTCCAATTTTCCAACATGATTCTCACAGCATTGCACCATTTCTAATATACAATTTTGACTTTATTCTAGTGAAAATAAAACCATAACAGTGCATGTTTTTGTTGTGCTATTCTGAATTTATTCTGCTAATATTCCAACTTTCTTCTCATAACCCAATGACTTTTTTTTTCAAAGCATTCCATTTTTTTCTCTATCATTAAATCTTTTTGGATCATTACATGTTCTGCTATTGGTTTGTTTTTGTGATATATGATGTACTAGTGGTCGAGTGGTTAGCGCGTCGACCTCACAGTGCAGAGGTACCGGGTTCAATTCCAGCTCCGGCCTTCCTGTGCGGAGTTTGCATGCTCCCCCTGTGTCTGCGTGGGTTTTCTCCGGGTGCTGCAGTTTCCCCCCAAATTCCAAAAACATGCATGGCAGGCTGATTGAACACTCCAAATTGTCCCTCAGTGTGAGTGTGAGCGCAGATGACTGTTGTCTCTCTTTTTTTTTTTTTTTTGGAAATGACAATTTTACTTGCATCAATACAATGCATCCTTTTGTCAAATTCAGACTTTCGTCTCACAACAGAACAACTTTTTCCTTCCAATTTTCCAACATGATTCTCACAGCATTGCACCATTTCTAATATACAATTTTGACTTTATTCTAGTGAAAATAAAACCATAACAGTGCATGTTTTTGTTGTGCTATTCTGAATTTATTCTGCTAATATTCCAACTTTCTTCTCATAACCCAATGACTTTTTTTTTCAAAGCATTCCATTTTTTTCTCTATCATTAAATCTTTTTGGATCATTACATGTTCTGCTATTGGTTTGTTTTTGTGATATATGATGTACGGTACAGCCCAGTGGTCGAGTGGTTAGCACATCGAACTCACAGTGCAGAGGTACCGGGTTCAATTCCTGTGTGGAGTTTGCATGCTCCCCCCGTGTCTGCGTGGGTTTTCTCCGGGTGCTGCGGTTTACCCCCAAATTCCAAAAACATGCATGGCAGGCTGATTGAACACTCCAAATTGTCCCTCAGTGTGAGTGTGAGCGCGGATGATTGTTGGTCTCTGTGTACCCTGCGACTGGCTGGCAACCGGTTCAGGGTGTCCCCCGCCTACTGCCCGAAAACAGCTGGGATTGGCTCAGGCACCCCCCGCAACCTATTTGAGGATAAAGCGGATCAGAAATTGGATGGATGGATGATGTACAGTAAATCCTCACGCTTTTTTTCCCCCATCACATGATTTAAGTCAGCTGTTGCAGTGTTTGTTGCCTTCCGAATGACATGCTATTTTTCCGTGGTGGTTTGTGTGCGTGTGTGTGTGTGTGTGTGTGTGTGTGTGTGTGTGTGTGTGTGTGTGTGTGTGTGTGTGTTCAATGCACCCCCTCAGAAGCCAGACACATAAAGTCCAACAGATGAGCAGCAGCTGCATCCACAGCTCCGCAAGGATGAGCGTAGGGGACGAGAAACATGATTGTGTGTGTGTGTGTTTGGAGGTTATTTATCATTTGCTCCTTTAGTGGCCAAAGACTGCATCCCTATTGTCCCATGGTCAACTGTACAACCGGAAGGATGATCAACGAGCCAACCTCTTCACGCGCCGTCATTGATTTACAGCAACTTTGTCTGGTGTAGTCACAGCGACTCGGTGCGCAATGCGTGTGTGACGGAGCGAGTGGACATGTGTGAAGCGAGAAAGTCTGTGTTGAGTCAACGTGTTTGAGAGAGAGTGCAAGTTGTGTGTGTGTGAGAGAGAGAGTTGAGTGAACATGGCAGTGATTTGAGAGTGCACGCCGCGCAGTTTGCCGAGTGTTTTTGTTTTGATGCGCCTGGAGTCCAGTGTAACGTCGCAGCTCCTAAAAACGCCGTAGGAGGAAGGAAGAAGGGTCGGATTGATGACGAGCTGTCAAAGTGCACGATTGTTCACACCCGTGTTCGTGAATAAACGGCCTACAAAATTGTAGGCCGCTCCTCAGCAGCGTCATCATTTTGTCGTGGGTCAAGATGTTATTTGGCAAAAAATACATAAATAAGCAAATGTTCGGTCGGTGGTCTCCAAATTATAGCGCGGGGGCCATCCTTGGCCTGCCATCCACTTTTCAGCGGCCCACAGACCCGTGTTCGTGAATAAACGCCCTACAAAATTGTAGGCCGCTCCTCAGCAGCGTCATCATTTTGTCATGGGTCAAGATGTTATTTCGCAAAAAATACATAAATAAGCAAATGTTAGGTCGCGGTCTCCAAATTATAGCGTGGGGGCCATCCTTGGCCTGCCATCCACTTTTAAGCAGCCCACATAACTACGACAAATAATACAGTATGAACATTTAGAGATATAAAAACATGAACATGTAACAGTTATTATAAACATGTCAATTACAAATACGCCGATACAGTCTGAAGAAAAAATTAACTACGACAAATAATACAGTATGAACATTTAGAGACATAAAAACATGAACATGTAACACAGTTATTACAAACATGTCAATTACAAATACGCCTATACAGTCTGAAGAAAAAATGATTTTATAAGACATGAAACGAACAACTGCAGCATCGATCGGTAACGTTGCTCAGGAATGGTAGGCAATTCTGCGCTGTACATTTTGTTTATAAGCGAGGTTACGACGGCAGTTAGCTTCCCACGGTTCGGTGTCACAAAGTCCTTTTCACTATATTGTGCGAAAAGAATCAGGTTGTGATAATCAAGTTTTACGTTGTTCGTTGGAAGTAAAATCAGTAATTGGAAAATGAATGACGTAAAATCGGGACTTTGAAATGTGAACGTTATCGGGGTGAGAACGTTGTAAACGGGGTACATTGAAACGAGGTTCGGCTGTACTAAAAATTACATTTGAGAGTAAAAAAATCATTATCAAAACTATCAATTTTTCTCAATCCATAAAGATGCAAATTAATTATTTACAACTAAACTAGTAGCATGTCTTTTCACAGCACTGTGGTGAAAAAAAAAAGCAAATAAATTTTCACAAGCAAAAAATGGTTCCCCCTTCCTTTTAAAAACGTAATTCATGAAAATGGTCATAAAGTTGAGAGAGAAAAGTTGCAATCTAATGAGAATGAAGTCCAAACAAAAACAATTTTGACAATTGTCATTTTATCATTCAAGGTAATGGCGGCACGTAGCCAGCAGAGGGCGTCATTTGGTCGTTCCATACAACGACAGTCGACAATTGTAACAAAACGCAAATGCCACAATAAACTACATTTTATCAAACTCTGCGGTCCATGCTTTTATAACATCTCGAATATGATATCGTTGAACTTACGGCATTGCGTCTACGATGCTTCACGGTAGACGGCGGCGGATCGTACTCTGAACACAAAACATGTCTACCCCGCATTCGCGATCAAACCGGAAGAGATTTACAGGAAGTGACATCTCAGAATGCGATTCCTAACACTGCAAATGAAAAATAAAAGCAAGATATGAAAGAATAATTTTTTTAAAAAAAGAATTCATTTTCTTGGATTCTACATTTTATTTGCAATTTTCAACTGTACAACAATTTGGTGACTTTGGTAAGAAGTCACCTTTGCTTGTTGTGGGTGTTACTTTGAGTGCAATGTGCTGGGTCTGCTTCTATGGAAGTGAATGTGGCGCCAGGTGCCGTTGCGCCGATGCCAGATGCGAGTCTCCTCCACCTTGGTGTGGATAGCAGCCAGGTCGCCCCCGAGGGCCTGGGTGAGGCGCACGTACGCGATGCAGGCCGCGTCATCGCCCATCATGTGCACGTAAGGCTCGATCATGATCGTGTGACGAAAACCGAGGGCTGGTGCTGAAAAGCCAAAAGTCACAGCGCACGCTCATTCCACTTCAGCATGGAAGTTAAGCGCGTTCCTCTTGGGATATTCCCACGCTAATCCCCTGTTCAATCACAGTTTTTTTCCCGTTATACCACACATTTTTATTGTATCATTACCGTTTTTTTTTATTGCAAAATTGAATTTATTCTTCTGTTAATTGATTTTTTTTTCAGAACACTACATTTAACACTCACGATCACACCGAGGGACAATTTAGAGCATTCAATCACCCTCCAATGCATTTTTTTGGAATGGGGGAATTAAACTGGAGT